GCCTCTGCATCTTTCGTTGAAAGCGTCTTCACTGTTTTTGCACGGGTGTTTAAGGGTCTAACCCCTGCCCTGGACTCGACAAGGATGAATCTCTTTCTTCCTGAACGAAGCGCGGACGCAACTCAAACATTGACATTTCAGATCCTCATCCGGAATCTCAATATGGCTACGTACATGGGGACCCCAGTTTTTCCTAGGGAGAACTGTGACTCACCCAGACCTTCTGCCTCAAAGAAGCACCTGCATCCCTATGATTTCATGTCCAACCCCTATTGACCCAAAGCCTCAACCCTAGCCTCTGCACTCTATGACGCCGGCTCGGAGTTCACCGGGAACTTAGCCAGCGGATGCCAGAGGGCCTGGGAATCTTGTTTTGCATATGAAGCCTCCCTAAGCTGCCTAAAACTTCAAAGCCTAGATCCTGAACCTGAAGGTCTGGACCCTCAAGCACTAGACCGTAAACCCAGAAAGCAAACTAATCCCTGAGACTCCTTGCAACTTGCAACCCTGAAGCGCTAAACTCTGAATCCCACAAGACCCCCACATGCCGAAGCCTTTTGCCCTGAAGCCTTTTGCCGCTGCAGTGTCAGCCGCCATGGCCAGCTCCAGCTCTCTGGAAAGCGACTCGACTGTGTTTCTTGAAATGTTAGGAAGCTTGCACTTTCTGAGGGAATCTGAGGGCACCGGAGGCGCGGCCTTGGGTCCCAACAATGTTTACGGTTCAGCCACCCACTTGCCACTCTTTTGGGTGTCGAGTGGCTTTGCGGTTTGCGTGTAGGGAACAAATAGGGTTGGAGCTTAATGAGCGCCTGGGGAGCGTGTGCGGTTCACCGTTTGAAATCATGGGACTTTGCTACTCATGATGAGTGGGGGGTCCACAAGGCAAGGCCCCCTGGTCCCTTGACCCAGGCAAGGTTCCTGAAGACGTTCGTGAGTTTGGCAATGTTGGCCTTATTTGTGCCCTTAAACATGAGTAGAGGTTCCACAGGGAGACCTCACTGCTTTACTTCCAAAAATCCTGAAGAGCTCCCTCCAAACACCTTGACATCCCTGCGGGGCTCTCATCTCCCAAAGTGTGCCGAATCCCACGAAGAACGACCCATACCTTTCACCAATCCCATTTCCAGGACAACGCGAAGTTAAGCGTCCTGGACATTGCCGGGAAGCCACAGTTGACTGCCAAGGCAAAGCTCTACATGATTGGTGGCGGTCTCCTTTGTTTGCCATGTGCAAGGAGTTCCTTGCCAAATTCCTAAACCTCAATCCACAAACCTTGTTCCCCGAACCCTGACCCTAAATCATTGAACCCTTTCGTGCCAAAGTGTAAGCCGCGAAGGCCATTCTGGGAGGCATCGTAGCAGGCTGCTGCGGCTCCTTTTTGGCTGCCGCTGGCTTCATTCTCGAAATAAGGGCTTCAGGGCCTAGGACGGTTGAGCATGTAGGCTTTGGGGCTCAAGGTTTGGAATGCAGGGTTTCAACATGGAGTCTTTGCGGCTGATGGGAGTGAGATACGATCATAATTTAGCTATAGGGCTTAAGAGGGAAAACGGAAACAGCGAAGCCTGCAGCTATAGCTAAGCCCTCAATCTAGTTCCAGAGGTCTCTCCCTGGGCCCGCAAACTTCGGGCTGCTGGTTTGTCTCGTGCGTGCCGCAAAAAAGCTTCAAAGCGCCGGCAGCAGCACCTGAGGTTCCTGTGCTGAAATCCTCAATCTTCCAGAATCCGAACTTCCAAACCTCAAACCCGTCAGTCCTAAATCGAAGCTACAAAGTCTGAGCTCCAAAACGCATCTTCGTTTCTGGACAGCCAGGGGCTCAGGTCTAATTATGGGCTGAAGACAGGAGTAACCCCTTCACTCAACATCATCTCAGCACTCTTGGGCTCCCCGGTTGTTCGCCTGCTTCTCGGCAGCGTTTTATGTGGGCAGCTGGATTCGCGCCAGGGCTCAGCATAGATTCCAAAGCTTGGGCAGTGGATGTTCTTTTGTTTGGTGTTCCGTCATATTCCCTTTCAACCTCAGGAACGCTGGATTCTTTTAGATGGTTTAGTTGTACTGTTTCAATTGACTAAATGCTTTGCCAGGACTCCAAACACAGTACGAGATCACGGGAAGTTTGTCACGTGAGTGCTTCTTTCCTGTGTGCAAAGAGCAGTTGAGGATTCAGAAATGCGGCCCGGAAAAGGGCGACTACACGCCACAGGAGACAGCATAGAGGTTGTGAGGCTTTTGCTAGGCTGAGGGAGGATTTCCTTTGAGACAAGCGATCCCCCCACCTTTTAAACGTAGGCGATAACCTCCAATCTCCGCAAACCGCAAACATAGGCTGCCAGCAGCAGATCCTAAACACGATGAAAAAGTTCCAAGTTGTTGTAAAATGGGTTGCTGCATGGCATGCACCGCGGTAGACAGCTGTACGTCTACTGGTATGAAGGTGAGCTCTACACTGCACCCTGAGCCATTAGATTCCTAAGCTCGAAGCTCTAAACCTCGCTTGATAAGCCCTCAGCCGCAGGAGACTTGTGTGATCCAGACCATGGCTGTAGCATGCACGGAGGTTGCCTCTGCTTCAGGCGAAGGGGCGGGGGGATGAGGGTGGCAGCGGATTTTGGCGGGCTTAGGCTGTAGGTTTTTTAGCGCTTAGGGTTTTGGTGGCGTTCACGGCTGAAAAGATGTCAAGCTCGGCGTCAATTCTCCTATGCATCCCAGACTCAAGCTACTTTACGAATTGGTGCTGAAGGACTTAGGATTAAGTTGGTACAGGGCTTCAAATCTGTGCAGCTGCTGCTGCCGAAAAGAAACATTTTAGCTTATGCTAAGTGCTACGTAAACTTCACTTGAATACATAAGCAATTGCTTGTAGCTACGTTCTTCCATGGTAGCGAAACTCATAGAAGCAATATGTCATGTTCGACGTAGCTGCCGGAGCTCACGCCCTCTCACCGGCTGGTCAGCAAGCTGGCTAAAGCTGCGCCGTCGCAGCTTGGAACTTGGGCGAGATCATGTGTTTACCAGGAGCGCGATGCTCATTGCGCGCCGCCCACTGAGCGCCCTGCAGAGCCCAGTAGCCCAAAGCGGAACTCGTCCGCTGCTCTGCTGCGCAAGCCCTACGCCAGTGCGCGCGCCCTCAAAGACAGCACTGCGCTGTGCGACGCCTGGAACAAGGGTACTTGCCAGGCTTGCAAGATCTACCGGCGGCGCCTAGGTGCAACATGTTGTTGCAGAGTGGCCGAGTTTGCGCGGCTGGCGCAAGCGGTGGCGTCCCCAGTCCAGGGTGCCGGGGAGCGCCGTGTCACGGCGTCAGGCCTGGCAGCAGGCGCGTGCTCCCCTGCAGAGGCTGGAACTGGTCAGCCTGAGCGTAGGCCGCTGCGTACACCAGAAACTGAGGCGCGAACTGCTGCCAAAAGTCTCCCGTAATGCTAGATGTCCTCTCTGGCCCTCGGGCGCTGTTGGCTCAAGCGTTTCAGTAGCTGGGTTGGGACGTGGTCACCCCTCTTGACCTTCTCAGGAATGAGGACTTTGACATCACCAATCATAGTGTGCTCAAAGCTGTGGGTGCTTGGTTACCACACCTCGACTTCGTCTCTTGTGCCATCGAATGGTCAACCAAGAGCAGGACCAGAGAAATTCGACCTGGTCCACCTCGCGTGAGGAGCTCTGACTTTCCCCGAACCTTCATCGTCTCTCACCTGCTCAAAAGGACAATGCAGCCTCTGACGCCCAGCTCGTGTTGCAGGAATGTGTTCGCTTGCGCGGGGCAGCAGCGCTGCGAGAGAACCCGTTTGGCAGCCTGCGCTGGGATGACCCCATAGAACAGAGTCTGTGGGACACTGGAGTCTATGAGGACACGACCTACCACCTCCGTTGGCCATGGGCACTTCTCCCATCGTTGCCAATGAGTGAGTCCCCCCTTGTTGAGGGCTGAGATGGGACCCCGTTTGAAGTGGTGGTCCGGTTCTCGAAGTGGCTTGTCAAGCAGGACTGGTTCCCACGTGACAGCAGCTTCGCAACAAAGTCCTGGTGTGTGACTGCCCTGCCAGTCAGGTGTGCCATGGAGATATCCTGGTAGCGATGTTGTGCAAGTCAGGCGACGCCACGGACTAGACTAGAGGGAGTTACTTGCGCGCTGTCCTCCTGGAGGACAGTATCTGCTGGTATCACACAGGCATGTCTCGTTGAGTCCTTTCGCTCCCTTCTCTGGTTTGTCGACCTGAGCGAGTTTCGCTTCCCGCTCATTGCATGAGGACCTGGTTAACTCAGTGGAGCTCACCAGGTACGCGCAATGGATGGAGCACCCTGATCAGCTCGTCTGGGGACCGAGAATGGCAACTTCCAGCGTTCGTTACGCAACGAATTTTTGGAGCAGCAGCTCATCGTGCCGCTCAGCCTCCATGGGTCCCCCACAATTTGGTGGAGACCGAGCACTTCAAAGCATCCCTCGTCAAGCAGGCCAGCTGTACTCCGTTTGAGGTCTCCCGCTTCCCTGAGCCTGACCTCTGGTTTGCTGCCACTACCTCAGTTGCCCTGCAGCCACCTCAACAACGCGCTCAATCGCTTTCGCAGTCACCAGAGTCACCGGAGGTACGTGCAGCATCTGCTGGCCGTCATATCGGACTCATCTTTCTTCTCCTCGTGACCCTTCTTCGCTGGCCAGACACTGCACTCGATAGAGATTTCACGCAGGGCTTCCCGACAGTCGGCCACGCGCCCCCTTGTCGAGTTTTTGCGTGTCAGCCCAGCAATCTGTGGAGTACAGAGGACGTGCTGCCAGAAGGGCCGGAAGATTGCGATAAACTCCTCAAAGCATTACGACCTGGACCTCATGATGACGTTTTGGTCCAAGCGGGTGTTGATGACGAGGCGCACGGTTTCTGTGGCCCAGAGATGACCTTCCTTTCAGCAGTTGCGGGGGCTTGGGCGTTACCGGGTTTTGTGCCGGTTCGTCATCGAGCAAGGCAATGGAAAGAAGCGTGTCATTGATGATGCCTTCCAGCGTGGACAGAGCCAGCTCTCTTCCAACGGGAACAAGCTTGACCTCTGTCAGGGCACCCAGCCTGCAGCTCATGTCCACGCTTTTAGGCATACACCCATGGTGCCAGCCCAGGCAAACGGGTGTATCGTGGCCTATTGGTCCCCAACAGCAGGCGAGGTGCGGTTTCGCCGGTATTGGGCACTGAAGCCACGGGTGGCTCGCTCCCTGCCACCCAGTGGCATGCGAGGCGATCTCCCGGCCCGCCTCCTCCTGGGACAACACCGTCCCTGACGATGCTGGGGACGGCGTGAAGGTCTGTCGAATATCTCAATTGCATGGTTCTTGTTTGGGGATTCATTTCAGGATCCTTGCATTCCCTGTCAGAGTGAGATGGTGCGGCATGCAGTGCATAGGTAGTTCTGGTCAGTGCCGCTTTAAGCAGAGTGCAAGCGGTATGCACTTAGGTCTCTGTAGGGTCTTCACATGGGCCTGGAGCATGTTCCTTTGGACCTTCGAAGGCTTGAATGAATTCCCCATTTTCGGCATGGCTGCTGCCAAGTATGGCTGGGAGACTGGATTTCTGCTGCAAGGCTTTGAGCTGTTTTGACAAGTTACGTGTCCTTTATGTGATCTTTTGCCAAGTCACGCTTTCTTTTTCTAACGAGAACTCCAACCTGGGGCCTGTGATATTTCCTACATAGTCCATTACCTTTTGGCGGATCCATAGAAGGTATTCGAAACATGTCTTCTAGCGGAAGAAACAAGGTGTACTGGCTGGGGCGCTGTTCTAATCACTGCTAAGTGGGAGAGTTCAAAACATAAGGTGTCCCCAGGTTTACTGGAAAGGGACCTTAATGTTTGGAAATTGAACAGCCTGGCGCATGGTGGGTTAAGGATCAAGATTGCTACCCTAGAGGAGAATACACGAGAATCGGCTGTGGGTCTCAGATTCTTGAAGGCCCCGGGGATGCAGGTGACTTAGTCCCATAGTTCAATTGGTTTTGGCGCTCTATGTATACTTTGTTGACACGCTTCTATTCTCAAGTTTAAATAGTAGCATCCTGATGAAGTCTTCCCGCGAGGTGGGCGGCGTCATCGGCAGTGGAATTATTAGGCCTTGGGTGCACAGCAACCATGCTTTTTAGCTGCATCTCATTGCGGTTTTTGCATGTCATCACTTTGTGCGTCAGATACTGGTTGAACCCAAGAAGTGGAAGCTAGCAGCAGCAGCCAAGGAATGTCACGCAACGCTGAAAGGCAAAGGTGATGCGTCCTGCTGGTACTATTCAGATGCTGGTCTGTTACTCGTTTTGTTCAAAGTTTATTTTGTCCAAAGTCTATTTTGTCCAAAGAAAGGGACCATGCCTCGTGAAACTCATGTACAGATTCTTTCCATCAATGTTCTGGTGTTGGGCATAGCACGTGCTTCTTCTTTTGAAAGCCGCTTACTCAAAATGGTGTGTCCTGTTCTGAGTCATGAGGGGTCTTGACAATGCGGATGCCATAATTTGAGAGAATTCGCGTGAGTTGAAGTGTTTTGCCCGCATTCCATACGCCTCGTACTCAGGTCCTGCCTCGGAGAAAGCGCGCAAGCCGTTACAATGATAGCATTCTAGGTAGTGTAGGGTTGCAGCCACAAGTGGACACGATAAGTCATTCATGGACATAGTTGTTCCACGCGGGACACGCGTAGATGGAAAGGGGAAGGGTGAGGAAGGAGCACCTTAGTCCAAGACACCTTAGCCAGTCGTGATCATCTCAAGCAGGTCACAGCAAGCAAAAGGGGCCCTGCAAACCAAGAGCTTAACCGTGTTCAGCATCCCTGAAGGAAGCCCAATCCCGCAGAGTCTCTGCAAGATATCTCTGGACGTCCATAACCGTCTGCGCACTTAAATGTCCAGGCAGGTTCATCGGCGCAAGGCCGCAGATGGATAGACATGTCGGAAGCTGCTCAAAGGAGACCTGAAGCTGGGCTCCTCTAGGAGCGTTAGCCGCACACTCCCACAGGAAGTGCTTGGTTGACTCATCAGCTGCACGGCATCTGCAGCAAGTACGATCGCCGAATTTACCAGCATAAAACCTTCTGTTTCGAGACCACAAGGCATTCGCAAGCAACCGCCGATAACGATTCCCTTCAGCACCGTCATCGCCATAGAGCTCAGTACGACCGGCCGCCATTTCAACAACTGATTTCAAGCTCAACTCACGGTTCACGCCATTTTCGGCCCCACTCAAACAGGGCCTCAGTGGGGCTTGCTTTCGCCACCACCATGCACGAAGAGCATCTCTAAAGCGATGCCGGGAGCGAGCGCCGAGATCATCTTTCGGGGAGAAAAATCCTCTCGCCCCCATCACTAACAATGACATCGCGACGACTCCATGTCCAGCCAAAGATTTCCAACAGGCGGCACCAACCTTTCGCCCAACTCACTTGACGCCGCCAAGGAATGTGACGATGAGACCACAAGCTCTCAACAACCGAGGCACACGAGCCCAAAAGCCCAGCCAGAGTCAAGGAGCCAAAGTGCAACTGAGCAACTTCAGGGGCCGTATGGTGGAGAGGCCCCATTAAGCGCAACGGCACCGCAACACTGCGCATGCGG